AACAAAACTGTACGAGAACATTTTAGGCAATTTTTCGATTGTCACATAGTGTCCGCTGCAAAGTATTTTAGCTGATGTCGATCATTGGCTCTCTCTAAAGTTCACGAAACCTTCAAAAATTTGCAGGAAGTGTATCCCAAAAATCAGTCACTGTTTAATCATTATTAACTCTTTTGTCAAAATTTCTGAATGTCGAGGCCTGATCTTCAAAAGCTAGCTTGAACAGAGATTTCTATTTACAAATAGCTCTTTTACCCCTTTCCGTTACTAAAATATACAGTTGCTTGAAGACTGCGTGAGCATTGTCATTGGACCAAGATAGTTTTAACAATGCTCTGGTCTGAAATAATTTGGTACGCTGAGCCTAACTACAATAACAAAATTATCGTAAGGTTCTTAACAAGTTACGGTAAGTGCTCTGCGCCAACTGTAAATCCGTACAAATTTAGAGCCTAACAATTTGTAAGTGAAAGAGGCTCAAGTTCCGTTTATGGATGCAAATCTGAGTTCAAGCTGGTACTTCGAAATGAATCACTAAAGCTTAGAGATTTGGGGAAGAAAAAGTTACTAGCGATTGAACACTAGTCGTATTTCGGACGCTCTGCATACATTTAAACATTTGCAAATTCTCAAGGGACTTTTTCAACAAGCTTTTTCTTCTTGAATTCTAAAATTGCATAGTTTAACTAAGATCTTCGCGCACCAGTCTTGGAAGCTATGGAGATGATTGCATAAATTTGCACGAATTTTTACGCCATGACAGGTGCGTATGCTGCTATGTGTGCAAATGCACACAAAAGCCTTCTTCAAACTAAGCATAGTGTCTAAAATTTGATTAGATTATAAGCTGATCATCTACATTTCATTGGGAGACATCATATTTGCTGAATATACGTGGAGCGCCTTCAAGAAACCAACTTATACTAGGTTGCAGCTCGCCCAAACTCAGGCATACACACACACATACAAAGAGCAAGCTTGATAAACTTAGTGCTGTTCGGAGACTACAATCCGCGTTAAACGAAACGCTTTTGATGAAAGATCACTGAGCTCAGGATATATCCTCAATTCGATAATTTAAGAACAAAAGGGTAGGGTGAAGTAGGTGTACGTAAAGTACTGTAAAATGAGAACTGTGAGTCCATGGATACAAGAAGGACAGGGAGGTGAGCAGTGTACCCGTCGCGTTACGCACTAAGTACCTTGAATGCTTTATCCCTTTGCAGCGCGCCGTGAGGTGTGAGTCGAGAAAAAAAGCTGTCAAAACTCTTCCAACAACATCGTAAGTTGGGTGCATTAGGAAAAATGTGTCTTTCACACGAT